AGAGTTGCGCAAGTTTGTGGAGACAGATGTCCAGGAAAGAGTATTTAACTAGCAAAAACTGACATATTCTTGCAATTATTGTTTATTTCAGGAACCTTACTGTTTGGAAAATAAAGTATATCTTTATTTTTAGGAACCCCTTTCACATTTCAGGGGAGGCTCTCAGCTCTTCTTAGCTCTAGATGATTTTGCATTTTTTGTTTTGCTTGTAACAACATTCACGTTCACTCCGTGTCATAAACAGATTTGAGATCTGTGTGACAGGTGTAGCATAAAGAAATGTCCCTTTGTTCACGCTGCAGTGGCTGATGGATGTGAGAGTTATGATTCGGTAATTTTCTGAGATAATTTCAGCAGCAGGACTCTTAAAAAAAAGAATACGCCTGGAATGTGTTGGTTTATAAATAAATTTGAAGTGGAAAAAAGGCCGATTAGGTTCTGTAAATGAACAGAATATTGACATACAAGAATTGGACCGAACCACAGCAATATTGACAGGGGGAGGGTAACACACACCAACACACACACACACATGCAGACAACAGAGTTATCTGTAGAGGCCAGGCAGCAGCAGCAGAGAGCTGCTTCTATCTGCACAGGGAGGTCTGCTGGCTCAGTTGGCAGCTGGCTGCTGCTCTAAGACTCTCCTTAAAGGCAGCAGACACTCATGTGTGTTTGATGTCTCCAAAAACAAGATGCAGGTGTTTCGAGGAAATATTAGTATGCTGTTTGTTGACTTCTTTAACTTCATTTCTATATTAGAAACCTATATTTTTTCCCAAGGGAAGTGCTGCTCCACATTAATATTCAGATGTATCAGTGGCACGATGGGTACTTTTTAAAATCTTGACATTGCTAATTGGGTTTGAAAACTTTAAATTAAGATGTGTGATTCAAGCCAGATAAACATGAACCCTGTGAATGAGAAAATGGTATTAATTCATCTCTTATGCATTTGTAATAAGTGATGATTCATGACACTCAGAGGGAAACACTCCTGCCAAGCTTGCCGCTATCTGGGATCCTGCCTCCTATAGCCTACGCTAATGGCATAGCAGATACTTAGATAATGAAGCGTCTCTTTTCAGAGTTTAAACCCTGCACTTTAAAATATATCAACACCACAATGTGACAATACAGCTATGAATATATATTTATATGTAAAGCACAAGGGAATATCTTATTTCACAAAACAAAACCAGCAAAAATAACAATAAAAACAAGTAAAATAGGTAAAGAAAAAGGGAATGTGTTGGAGAAAAATCTCTCTCACATAGGGTGGTAAAAATCATGCTACACTCATCAAAAATTGCAAGATTCCTGATGGATCTTTGTTCCCATACAGTCTCACAGTGTTGTTCAAGAAGAAGCAATGGCTACCATCCTTCCTTTTTTTCCTAAACATATCACTGTCATAAATTGTAAAATGAGCTTTATTTGACAGAACTGGGAAATTCATCTGTATAAAAAAATATCTTTTTTTTTTTTTTTTTTGCACTATTCTCAATTTAATATAGTCTTCAAATAGTTTGATAACTACAAAATTTTGTTTTTGATTAACAATTTTTGCACACCATCCCAACCCAGACTAAATTAGCGTTCTCTTTTTGTTGGGCCATCACCGGACTAAACCTTTTCTTTGAGATTAGAGGGGTAAATCAAAGAGGCTTTTCAATCTTTTGCAGCATTTTCTCTACACAGTGGATAGTGGCTGATGTCATAGCCAACCCCAAGCCTCCACTTTTACCCCCCCCCCCCCCAAAAACCAACACGTATTTTGTGGTGTTTTGCGGTACTTACAGGGCATAGCCCCTGGCCATCTTCTCTCTTAAGTGCTGACCAGAAGCTGACTAGAAGCTCCAGCAATGATAGTCGAGTTTCAGTTCAGTGTATTGATTGCACCTAACAGATTTATCCACATGCAGAGGGCGTGAAAAAGAGCTATCACAAGCATGTGTACGCTGGTTCATGCACACACGCACGCACGCACACACACATGCACAGTCAGGGAAGAGTACAATAGACATTGAAGTGAAGCTAAGGGTGTGTTGTGTTGTAACCCTGGAGCAATGGCCTAATTGCAGTCCAGGTCAGAACAGATCCCACTTTAGAAGCTAGCATCATTTTCAGAAAGCGCTTTGTTGTGAATGTTTTGCAAAGTGTTCAGCTCTAAGCTTGCAGAAAATTGTATGAGAACAGAGACGGTATCAGTCTCTGAAATGAAATTAACAGAACGGATATGATACCTGATTCCACCCAAGTAATGGAAGGGTTCACAAGCAGTGTTGGTCAGTGACAGCTGAAAGATGGATCTTATATAGAATTTAATAAGACACATAACATGAAACATAACTTCTTTTCCTGATGTTAATTAAAATATAAATTAAAGATGACACTAAATTTGTGTCTTCAGCTTAGCTCATCCTTCAGGAAACAGAGTGACAACAGCGAGACAAGCCTGGCGCTTCACCTTGTCACCGTGTTGGCAGGCTGTCAGTGGGATGTGTTTTTAGACTGCTGCACAAAGTGCACACGACTCACACAGCTGCATAGTGAGTGTTATGATACTGTTCTCAATGTAATAAATATATTCATCAGAAAGAAGACTTAAAGATTAAATGGCCACTTGCTTAGTGTGGGATTAGTGTGCACCTCTAACTACCTTTAATTTATTAACAATAAACCCGACCAAAACTGGAAAGTAAACATGGTCACCATTTCACATTAAATGTTAATTAACACATCAAAAAAAATTACTTGTTAAAGCAATGATTTAACACTTACATCGAAGACTGACTCAAACAGAGATCATTAAAACAATTAGTCATCTGTTAAAATAAAAATAAATAAATAAATAAATAACACAGAAAGGCTCACAAAACAGCCTGACTGTATCTTTTACAGTGGCCCTAAAGGTCAATGGCGCAAACATGTAAGAAAGGGAATAAGTAAATAGTCCATAAAACAGAAAAATAAATGATACTGAATGGAAAAAATAAATCATTAAACCCTAAAACATTTTACAAAACACATAGGTGATTCAAATGTGCACAATTTATATTTGAAAATGTTTAGGTGAATTCTGAAAAAAAAGAAGAAAAAATCTTTGGAAAACAAAAAGAAAAGTTACAAAATGGAAACATAAATTAATCTTTAGAATTTATGTTTTTGCAAATGTTTCTGTATTCATTAAAAAAATATTTCTATTTATGAAATTGTTGATATTTTTTGTTTTCCAAAGTTTTTTCTTTTTTTTTTTTTTTAAATTGTTTTATTTCATTTGAAATATTTCTCATTTTTAAAGCTTTTGTTACTGTAATTTAATTAATTTAATGAATGTTTTTTTTATTAATTAATTAATTTATTGTTTATATATGTGTGTGTGTGTGTGTGTGTGTGTTTTATTTAATACTTGTGCCACTAACCCCTCAGGGCTACTGTAGTCTTTGTATGTGCAGGCTGCCTTTCAATTACAGGTGGAGTCATAAATGACCATCAGGTTTTCTCTGAGAGGGGGTCCTTGAGCCCTGTCATCACATCAACTTTAGTCATGAAAGATCGATGTGAAAAAGCTTCCTTCTCCTCGAAAAGCTCTTTTTTCCCTCTTATCAGGATTTCGTCCACCCCCATCTCATTTCAATCATTCTTTGAAATCTGTCTTTGTCTGAAAAGTCTTCAACTTTCAGCTTTTTTTAATGAGTCAATTGAAAGACTTTATCTTTCTCTATGAAGTCGAGCTTTAAAGTTCTCTGAAAATGACATGTAATTTTTGGTGTTAAGGGCTGCATACAGAGAATCACAACAGATCTTGAGTGTTCTTAATAAAACAACCAAATAAATAATCATTTTAAACCCACACGCCTGAGCCTACAACCACCAACCTGGAAGTAATGTATTTTAAAAAAGAGTTGTGTCATTTATCATCACAGTAATCTCACAAATATTTTTGATGATTCCTTTATTTTAAGTATCTGCGAGAAGACACCCAGTAATGATCGAAGCGGATGATGAAAGTTAATTTATAAAACTCATTTTCCTGCTGAATTGGTGCAGGAATGTTATGCATGTGCATTGTCTGCTAAGATTTTATGTGGCCTCTATGCTTTAGAGCGAAACGCAAGTCTGAAAGAACACACTGACACACTGCCCTTCTCCTTCAAAAGCCCCTTTTGTGTGTCTGGCTGATTCTGTGAAAGAATGACAAAAAAGACTCGGGTGAAAAAAGGAATAAAAACAGAGGTGAATCTTGTCTACAGTTTGGTGAACACTTTAAATTGTATTTTTTAAACTCCAATTCAGAGCAGGAGCCGGGGTCAAGGCCAGTTTCAACAGCAGAATGAGAGTGAAAAAGTTTTCTTTATAATGACTTATCTTAATTTCTGTCACAGCTACATTTCAGTGATAATCCTTTTTTTAAAGTGCACTTTGACTTTCATCAGGTCCACAAATTAGAACAGAGCTGGAGTTAAAATTTTCTGTCTCCACTCCTTTTTTATGATAGTAGAACCTTATGTTTTCTTTTTCTTTTTTTTCTAGGGCTGTATAATAAGTCTTGCAGCTGTAGACATCTCATCTAGCTATTACATAAACTCCCCTCCGGTGAGGGCGAACTGACTCGCTAAGAAAGTGAAAAGAAAGTGGCGGTTTATTCGGCTCTAGCAGTGTAAATCCTGTTTTCAGTATGTAAGATTTCTGATGGAAAGCTTTTTCTTTTAAGAAGGCTCTAATCGAAGTCTTCTGTTTCACACATTGTGGGATTACTTCCTCAGCTGGGTGTGTGCAGCAGAGGATCAGAAGTGAAAATAGATACCTGACACTCCTCTTCGACCAGGAGTAGAGATGGATAACCAATTCTTCTGACTGCACAAACGTGCAAATGTGTAAGTGACACCATTTCCCAAACAAAGCTGTAAAATGAGTAAAAGAACACCAGGAGCTATAGTGGGTCAATGCTGTGGATATGCTGTAGCTGTTTGATTTCACCGTGTGGAAATAGTCACCTGGGAATAGAGAAAATCCTCATCAACATGGCAATGTGTTCCATCGACACCATAGACTGTATATAGAATGGACGCCGTCTGCCTCCTCACTGGGTGAAGCCACCCTGAGAACAGCACCCTCTGGTGACGGGCTGCAGTATAGGTCATAAATCCCGCCTCCTCCAGCAATACCTATGGGGTTGTAGACAAACTTTAGAAATTAATTACATAGAATATACATAATTTTTCCCCCCTGCTTGTGATGTTGACATGTAGATACTGTGAGACTGGTTTGTGCTCAAATCCCGTTTTTTCTGTGCAGCTACGTTTTTAAAAGTTATTAGGGGGTTCATGTTTTCTATGATTGGCACTTGATACAGTCTATGGGGGTACAAAGATTGTGTAGCTCACTGGGGTGATACGCTGTTTGAGCCGAGCATCATTACAGCGACTCTCCCGCCGAATGCGTACAATTGTACTGCGCAAGTGGTAGAGTGTGTACAATGCTACTGCGCAATGTTGGTTTCAGGAAGGTGCTTTTCATGCAGATCATCACCATTCTCCTCAGCAGCAATCAGGTAAGGACAAAACATCTGGATTCAACAAAGTGGGATGAGAGCACGTTGAAAGGAGGAAGGACGTGGTGCATGTAACTTCTCTCCCTCCATTGTACATATACAATTTAAAATCATCTGCACAGCTACATGGCTGTGTTGTGAAGGGAAGTACTGTGCCACCAAAGTTAAAGATAGCACAATGTATTTGACGGGCAGCAGGTGTTATTGATTTCCATTCAATTCTGTTACAGTTCTTGAAGCCCAGCACCCGTATTGTGAAAATGGCAGATGAAATTGCACCTACATTATTGTCTGTGGGTGTGTTGATCTTAAAGTGAGGTGTGGTTTGGTGTCTTAAGGAAGCAGGAAGTGTGTACACCTTGGACTAACAAAGAACCTGGTGTAGGGGGCTGCATGCCAAGATGCTGCATGTCAAAATGCATTGCACTATGTGTATGATGGAGTAACATCAGCAAGAAAAAAAAGACTTAATTTTGTATGCAGTAATGAGTAAAACAACAAAATGAAAAGAATCTTGTAAAATGAGGTTTTTGGCAATGAATTAAATAACATGAATATTTTTTTAATCATTCAAAGAAAGCTAAACTCATTGTAAAAGAAAGACCTAAAGGATGTATTTGGATTTCTTCAAGGTGAATAGATGTGTTCACTATCACACGATCAGATCCAAAGCAAAGATCCACATCTGGAGGCCCCTCTCATCTCTGAAATTTATTAGACTACAGGGAGTCGGTGTGGGCAGCAGGGCCCCTTGTTAGAGATCATATTTTTAATCTCTTCACATGAAATGATTGCCCCCTTCATTCAACATTATGGATGAGATCCCATTAAGCAGCGTGCCAGGTTTATGTGTCACCAATGAGGCAATATGAAAGGAGCCAGGGAGGGAGCAAATGCAGCTCTCAATCACCGCCAGATAAAAGTAAATGGATCATGGCTCTAATAGTTGGTCCACTTAACTTTGTGTGTATATGTGTGAGTGTACGTATGTGAGAGTGTATGTGTTGCCTTTCTTCACCATTAGTCAAATAAGATGACAAACTTGGGGTTGATGCAGTTTAAACAATGAAAAGTTCTGGATTTCAATTCGATGTTATCTGATCTCCCTTTCTTTCCTTTCCTAACATACATTCTCCATAAGATCTGAATGGTGATGTATACTGATAAACACATTCATCTTGATTACTGGTGCATTATATGAGGCTATTAAAAATTCAGAAACTGCAATCAAACATTAGTTTAAATCAAGGGTTAGTAACAAACAGAGATCAAGGTGTAGTTGAGGCCTGGAGTGTTGTTTTACCATCCGTTGGGGGTGCTGTGGTGAAGACATTTACTTTTCTGCAGGGTTAAAGCAGGTCATGGTGGTGCAAAACATGGTCAGTATGTGCATGCATGTGTGTGTTTTTGTCCATGTGTCTTGTTTAGCATCAAGTCAGATAGTGAGCGAGCAGGAGCCTGGCCTCTTATCAGTGTGTTACCTCAGTATAATTACAAGACACTGATCAACCCGGATATTGATTCTCTGCGCCTGATCAAATGTCAAGTGGAGGAGGGGGCAGGAGAGGGGCAGAATAATCTGGAAGCTTTTCTTTCACACATTTTTGGTGATGTAGTGAATGCATTATACATAACTAAGATTGTGATCTTCTTTGCATGACAGGTGTTTAATAGTCACAAGACATGAGAGGAGTTAAAACTTTGATACTGTTCAATAACAAGTCAAAAACAACAGTATTTTCTGGACCATAAGTCGCACCAGCCAAAAAAAAATGCATAATGAAGAAGAAAAAATATATACCGATATAAGTCGCATTTTGGGGGGAAAAATTTATTTTACAAAATCCAAGACCAAGAACAGACATTTCATCTTGAAAGGCAAGTTATGATAAAAACAATAGAATAGAGAACAGAGTGAATAGGTGTATGGTATGCTAGCGTATTCAGCTACATGAAGCATAAACAACGAACTTAATACGTGTCTGGTATGTTAACATAACATATTCAGATAACTGTAGTATACAGAACATAACAAAACAAGTTTACCAAACTCTTGATCTCACTCAAAATCACAAAATCCATCGAATTCCTCATCCTCTGTGTCACTTCTGAACAACTAGAGTGCCCTCTAGCGGCTGTCAGTGTGAAAATAACAAACATGTGAAATTATATATTTTAATATATGTAAATCACACCTGAGTATGTCGCAAACCCAATCAAACTATGAAAAAAAGCGCGAATTAAGGTCCTTACACACAGGGACCGACGCAAATATATGACTTGAAATTACGAAATATTCGAAGGCGAATTTTGACGCGCCTGACTATCAAGCCCGATGCGATTTTGCGACTTTCTGGGGGGAAAAAAGACACATCCCGGGTGAAAGTGAGAAGACTGACACAACAGCAGACTGACTGTTTTTCAGTTCTGATTAGACACTAGTGTTGAGATGTCTGTCTGTCATGATAGCATGTACTGAGTCGGGGCCAGTACCAGATAAGCACATTAAACTATAATCCATAAACCTAAGGTAACAAACAAGACCTAATGGTGCTGTGACAGCAACGTGATCGAGTTTGAAACAGTGAAAATACATATGGTATGTTGTATCTGAACAGGTTAGCTTACGAGCTAAAGTTACTTAGCACAGATGAAAGTTAAAACAAAGACGTTTAGCAAACTGTGAAAGTAAATAAACCACCGTCATATGAGAAATCAGACGCTATGACTCTCCTTTAACTTGTCCTTCAGGTTGTTTTCTTTGTAACATTTGTGTCTTTTATCAAAAAGCACTCTGTTCTCCGTCACGTTAACAATCAGCCAGTCGGCCATGTTGGATATACCAGTGAATCAGATGTCGCAACAACACGCAATCTGATTGGTCAGAAGGGGACACACAGTATGTGAACCTTCAGAAAAATCAACCATGATCCGAAAAAATAAATGCCACATTATCGCAGGACGAGAAATCGTTGCTGATGTGAACGCTTGTATTGACAGAATATGGGTTTGAAAAAATATATTGACGTCCGAAATAATTGCACAAAAAAAAAAAAAGCTCCCGGTGTGAAAGAACCGTTATAGTCCGTAAAATATTGTAAGTGCATCTGTATTTCTCTGTTTAACGCAAATGTGACTGCAGGTTTTTGATTATTGCATCCAAATAACATTAAAAAAGAAAAAAAAAAAACACTAAAAAATAATCAAATGTATTTCAGTTAATTTTGCAGAGCTGCAGCCAGGAATTTAAAATCATTAAAGTCATGAGTCAGCCCAGGGCATCCTCTCATTGACCTCTTTGGCACCACCTGAGGAAAATGTTGACCTATAATCACAGAGGACTCTTTAACCAAAATAATAATGCACTCTCCGAGAATCAATATTATTTCTTGGATGAACCGAGGTGTTTATGTAAACACTTAAACTTTAAGAGGGTTGGTTTTGACCTCTGGGTTGACCCAAAACTCAATAAGACTTGATACTAATAATAATACACTGAATTTATATAGTGTTTTTAAAGAACCCAGGGTCGCTTTACAAAGTGGAGTGATAAACAAAAGACTTGAGACTTGCTGATTAGTTGAAAACAATGGTTTGGGTCAGTATATGTGATGTAGCGGTCAGTCAGGGCCTCATAAGGGAGTCAGCGGACACACAGATCTAAATGTTCCTTCTTTCCATTTTTAGTCATGGGGGACATTTTTGTTTTGGTGAAATATTTGGGATGAAGTGCTACTATTTTCCTCATCAGCTGAATTCACACTCACATCCTTCAATATGATGCCTATTCAAAATGACAGCTCCTCCATCATCCATGAACATAAATAATACCTGTCATGCTGCTGTCAGCTGGCTGCATCTCTTACTCTGTTATTACACAACAATTCAACACAGATCAGTAAACCTATGATGAAAATCAGACTCTTTGTTTAGAGTGCTTTACATGCGTTTATTCAAACTGGGTTTTTAGGGGAAAGGGTTTTCCAGTTACTAAACAATGAAATTCTGTGTAGAGCTCGAGGTGGCAATATACTTTCTTTATCTGAACCTCCCAACCAGCGTTCGTGCACTGAATTAAAAAACAAAAAAAACAACACTTTACTGCAGCTTTTGTTAAGAGCAAGGACCAAGTTTTGACCTCAGCAGTCTGAATGTGAATGGCTGCAATCAAGCCTTGGGAAACCAGTCATTATCTCCCAGCTTCATCTCCAACATCTGTTGCCGCTTTCAACTTTCGTTGTGGTGCTCCCCACCCAGGGGATTTAGTTGCATTCAAATGATGTCGCTTCAACGCTGAGAGGACTAGCCTTCTGTATTGGTTTATTATCGACCAAATCGTATGAAATCATTCATATCAGTCAGTTCCTTTGTCATGTTTGTCATCTTCTTATGTTTATGCTTGGCATAAGCAGTCAGCACTTCTGTGGGATGTGGAATGAGGTTACTGGGAGGATAGGGGAAATAAGGATGCTGGGGGTAGAGGGGGATGATGAGCCTATGAGGAAAGTAGCTGGTGTCAAAAGATTATCGGTAATAATTAATATAATAGTATTTTTGTTTGCTTTACTTTTTTATATCAAATATTTGGTCTGATTCAGCTCATTTAGCTTGATGAAGACAGGCAGAATGAATCCATCTAAATCAATATCCTAATAACAACTTTTATCTATCAATCCTGATTGATTCTTTTATGATAAATAATTGAGAAGCAGTTGCTTTTAATTACTTAGAAGTTGTTCTTAATGGTGTTTTTCAGAGCACAGGTATATTTCATCAAATTTCCCTTGATAAGCAGAAATGTAGAGCTTCAAACCTTTTTCATGGCTGATTAAAACTAATAATATAATGGTCCAGAAATCAAACAAGAGCTGCAAACTGCAGGTTTAAATCCGCACAGCTGAGCAAAGACCCCTCAGCTATTTTAATTCTATTTAAAGAAGTAATGAGACTACCAAAGCCTGAGAGGGAAATGGTATTTAAAAAAAAAAAAGTCTGTGAGGTTCAGCCCCAAGAAAGACAGAAAGAGAGGGAATCTGTGCCATTTATCTGGAAAGATTTAATTTCTGTACAAGGCAACAAACAGTAACAATAGTGAGTTTGTGTTGACCCCATGAGTTAGGCTACACAATAAAACTCACTGGTATGAAAATGTAAGTGGGCATTGTCGCTGAGCTGTTCTTAAAATATTCAACATAGATCAAAAGGAAGAAGATGATTTAGGATAAATGCAACTTTTACTACCCAGCTTTTTTTTTAGTAACCACAACTTTATTTAAATCTCAAATTCTGATTGGTGTAGCAAAAGCAATGGTAGAGACAACCTGCTAAGACATATTACACATCTAGTGTGCAGTTGGTTTCAACTCTTCCATTATGACATAGAGATTTTCAAACCAATAGCATCTAAAGTTAACGTGGGAAATATTTTGCTGGTACTCTAAATTCACTTCAAGAGCACAAAACTTACTGTTTGAAAAGGCAAAGAAGAAGAAGACAGGGGGTAGGAAAAAACACAACCGACCAGAAACTAGGAGTGGGAGAAAAAATCGATACAGTATTGGGATATTTTGTCTGGTGATATATCGTATCGTCTCACTCACCAAGTATCAATTTTTTCAAACTAATTGCTAATATGAACTCAAGTCAATGATAATGGAAAAATAAAATCAATTGTGTGTTTGTTAAGTGACATCATAGAGAAGGAGAAAGTTAGTAAAACAAACAGCACCTGGCGAGGGACATAAGGAATACAAGCAGGGCACAAATGAGATGGACATGACATATGAAGTTTGCAAGAAGTGCTAAACAAAAATAAAATACTATGTAAATAAGGCAACATAAAGGAAAGACAAATGCCAAATCAGCTAAGTAGCTGAAAAAATTATCACCGCACAGGGTTAAACGGACAAGACTCAAATTCAGAACAAAGGATTTAATTAAAAGAACTAGATGAAAAAAGCAACAATAGAGAAAAATCCAAAAGACAAAATCCACAAAAATCACTGGGGCAAAATCACAGGGAGCAACTGGGGACACAGGCATACTCATCGACATACAATAAACCAACAAGGACAGAGGGGAAGACAGGGTCAATATACACATTGGGAAACGAGCAACAGGTGAGGCAAACGAGACACAGGTGAAACTCATGAGTGATTAACGAAGGAGGGAAAACTAGGGGAATAAAACCAGACTAGAAACACAAAGTTTAACTACTACAAAATAAAACAGGAAACACCAAAACCTTATCTAAAGAATAAAACACTGACAGGGGGGAGACAGGGTCAAACACAAACTGAAAACTCACAAGACTGGACTACAGGGGAACAGGAATGAAAAGGAATGAAGCACTAGGGAAAGACACAGAAAATACACTAAAAAAACAAAACCAGTGAAAAACTAAATCAACAGAACATATCATGGCATATATGGTATTGCAATACACACTGTAACGCAATAGTATCGAATTGTGGCCCAAGTATTGTGATAATATCGTATTGTGGGGTGTCCACTGATTCTCACCCCTCCTAGAAACGATCATATGTGTTAACACAACAACCTGCAACAAAAAAAGATTCACAGAAATAAAGAAAACAAACAAAGAAACCACAACAAATGAGCTTTGGCAGTGTCACTGGACCTTCAAATAAGTAAGAAGGACATACCCACATAAAAGTTAAAGAGGGAAGGACTTTGTATGGGTACTACTGCTATTTAATGCATCTGTTGAGGATGCAAACAGGAATACACTTCTGAATGAATCAAAAAGTCCTTCCCTGTTTGGATGCTATGTGACATAATGACAGTCCTACTTATGCATCATCATTTACTTTAAATATTAGAGGGCGATCACTGAGATATGCCCCTAAATAACTGGCACAAATAGCTCGCAGCAGTATTCACTACAACTTAAGCTCTAACTCTTAAAGGAATCCACATACACACTGTAAATCCAGCAGTCATATAGACTAAATGCACGTAAAACAGAAATGCAGGCCAGGTCACAACTGAATGAACACACAAATCACAAGCGGTTAGCATGATGCTAATTTACATTGAAAAACCCATAGGGTTGCTAGCGCTATTAGCGTCCCATTTTCCTCCGACTTTTTAGACATAAAACAACTTAAGGTGCTTCATGTGAGCATGTAACATATTGCAACATCTTGTGACAATAGAATACTTACAGACAGACATCCTTAAACAGCCTTATAACATCGTGCAAGATGACTTCATACTGGCAAACTTTTGACAGGACTGTGCAATTCACTTTGCAACTATGGTAAGTGTAACAGGTCAAACTAGTGTTGTGTCGTTCGCGAACGATTCGTTCAAAAGAGCCGAATCTTTTAATCGAACCACTTCCTCAAGTGATTTGTTTGTTTCTCACTTCAATGGAGCTGAAGTGAGAAACAGCATTGCCAGGCCAGCAGCCAGCAAATGAGGGACCACATGCACAGATGCCTGAATCACTTGGTGAATGAATCACGCATTGAACTACACTCTCTGGAATCTTTTTTTTTTTTTTTTTTTTTTTGAACAAAACTACCTTTTTTTTTACTGCTAAATTGCCACCACAACAGCTTGCATACAATAGGACACAGCATGTAACAGACTAGTGCATTAAACCCGCAGCATCCTATCATTGCAGCAGTTTGCAAGGGATCGGTGCATGTTCAGTGTGAATTCTTCTAAACGTTCAGTGAACGAATCACTCACTGACCCCAATTTACCAAGCAGACCTGATAAATATCATACCATAGGACAGTACACCTAAAACATCATGACTTATTAAACAAGTTCTTTTTTACAAACCTGTTTGCCAAAGGAACACAGCCAAACACTCTTGTCTCCCGGTCCCAGAAGCTATGTATTGAACTGAATTCTGAAACGTTCAGCTGTGTAGCAGTTCAGGAGGTCGGAGTGGCACGCTTCTCCCCCTAAATGATTCAGTGATTTGGTGAACAAATCTTTTGAACAAATCTTTTTCGTGAACTGATTCTAGTGATTCAGTATATCTCAAAGAACTGCAGTGCCCATCACTTGGACAAACTTCAAACTGAAGTGCACTGTGTAACTACAGTAACCCTAATCGGACAAACTCGGACTCAGAATTTTGACTGCAGGCCTGTAAACAGTATATGCTCATATATGCTCGTATATGTGAAGGAAAACACCCTTTATCTATTTTTTAATCAGAAAGTCTGAAAACAGAGTCCATTTTAAAGACGTCGACTATTCGGCCAAAACTGTGAAAAGAATATTCAGGGTTATACACCTTTTGGTGAGTCTGCATTCATCCGTGTTGACTATCTGAGATGAATTTCATTACCCTGATTTGAATCTCACTGATTGAAGCAAGGTCCTCATGGGGACAGATGTGTGAAAGCATCAGTTATGTAAACAGTAACATGCTAAGATGTGTAAGCATACAGTATTTCTCTTTTTCTCTCTTTTATAGCTTCAGAGCTGGAAGTGCAGTAAAAGAAAATGACAAGACGAAGGTACTTGAAGGACCAAGGATTTGGAGCTTGTCTCTCCAAGAAAGTGTGTTGGGATATTGTGCGGTTGATGGTTACTCCTGATCGATGGCTTTTATCAGTGGCAGCACACACACCCTCCCTATCTGTGAGCCCTCACTCAGTGCAGGATTAGCTACTGGATACATGGATTATTACACACACAGTTGCAAATACACATGATTGTGTACACAAGCAAACACACACATATTTTTGGTGTTAGCCCAAACACACTGATATGCTCATACACACACATACATATGCGCACACGTCTCCCTCTCTCCTCCCTAATCCCCTTCCCCCTCTCTGAGGGAGCTGTTAATGTGTGCGTATGTGCATGTGTGAGGGAGGTGTGAGAGTGTGTCAAGGGGGATTATGTGAATATAGTTAAGATTTGATGTCAATAGGAATTCATTATAATTCTCCCTCTTGCTCTCAGAGCGCATTACCATGCTGACTAATGCACAAAAGAAAACACAAAGAGGCTTGTCTCCATGCCTGCAAAGCACAAAGATTACTGTACATGCTTGTAATCTACATATTATCCAACTTTATGTTGCTAAGGGGTTCTTAAATGCTTTGTGTTAAGTAGATTAGTCTCTTTTTAATGCGTGTCTCTTTTTTTCTTTGTGTGCTTGTGTATGTGTGTGTGCCTGTGTAAATGTAGCGTCTGTGTCTTACACCGTTAAAGCGTGTATTTCTACGGGATAAAATTTGTATTTTGTGCTTGTAAGGAAATTCAGCAGGAAAAACCTTCAGTGGCAGAGTCAGGAGGGGGCCAAGGCCATCCCTGAAATCTGTTTGAAATCCTCAAACATGATTGAATATTTGTTTTATCAGAAGAAGCATTTACTATGAGCTTGTTTGGGCTCAGTTTCTGTAGACTAAAGGGTGAGCAGATTTAAATGTTTACTCTCTGTTGAGTAACCTTTCAAAATAAAATTATATGTAAAAACTGAACATTTTATGATTTCTTTAAATTCAGAAGTTAAAGTTAATGATTGAAGTGAAGCTAACCCTCTTTGATTAAGGGTAGGTCGTCTTTATTTACCACACAAGGACACCTTCCAAGAAAGAAAACTGCCTTTAGCCCAAGAAAGGAGTTTTCTAGGTAGCAATAATATAATTTGGGGCACATTTCATATCAGGCTGATTAATAATATGTATTGAGTTTGACAAGTGTTGCATGAAATATTTTTTCACAGAAACTTGAAATGTTATGGGAAGAGTTCCTGATACATTAACAAGTATAATATATTCCATATAAATGAAGGGTAAAGTTCAGACATAGATAGGTGATGAATATAAGAGCCAATGTTAAATAAATGATTTATCTCTTGCATACATATCTGGTGGGCGGGGCTAAGACACAAGGAAACTAAGCAACTTAGACATATTTGTTTTACCTATTCTTAAAAATAGATGAGGATGGACCTTTGTGTTTGTGAGCCTGTCTGGAGGCTGCAACAATGACTAAGTTCAATCCTCACTGGGCGGGGCCTCAGCAACGGCTCCGACATTTCAAACAACGCTGACTGGTAACACCACCTGGGACGACCAGAGAACAGCAGCTGGAGCCAGAGTGATGGGAGCAACCAGGGTTATCAGAGGGACAACATTAGAAAGACAAAAAGCAGACAGATACAGGAGGACGAGTCGAACAAAGAGGACATCACTGAAGTGTTAGATCTGTTATTGTACAAAACAAGAGTGAATAGGACAAGCTGCAGTAACCTTAAATCTTAATTATTCAGTTATTTTTCATATTAATTTTTCTATACAAAAAGGCAGAAATTTTAATAGAGAAGAAAAATAAAGAAATGCTTAAGGAGGAAAAGTACCAACAATAAAGGTAGGATATATGTCTCTTAAACATAATATACGATAAAATAAATCTAAATATTCAATAATAACATTACCAAATGTAATTATTACATTTTTGACCTACATCAAAGGAGAAACAAACAGGATTTGTGTGTGTGATGTGTGGGTTCATCCTCGGTATGATGGGGCAGGGGATCTATTCAGAAACAGTCATGTTGAACATAAAGATGGGGGCAGGAGCAAATCAGTGGGCCTAATAGCTCATATTAATCACAGTTATTTTAGATGAAAATTCATAAATCTTACATGACAAGCTAATCTTTGAGTTCCACTCCATGAGGGAATTCTCCCCCGAGCTGTGAATGGCTAAGCAGCCAATACAGGCCATCTGGCACATTCATAGCTTTTTAACATTCGCTACTACATCATACTGTTTATGATCAAGGAAAGAGGACATCCATATTGAACACAGCAAAGGTGAGGGTGTCATCCTGGAGATTATGAGCCTGAATGAGGCGCGGAGCAGCAGGGCTGAAATGAAACATGTAGTCAGAATAGATAACAAAATCAAGTAAAATCACTTAAAACCTGGCTCTTTTTACTAAACATTGAATGGTTGTAAAGATGTGACATTCGCAAACGAATCAGTCATTTGAACATCTCTTTGAAAAGAACAACTCTACAAGATCTGGCTCCCTTTAAAGAGCCATATATCGTATCTCTAAATGCTTGATCCTGATTTGTAAGGCAGAAGTCAGTTTCACTTTGTCTAATGGAATGAGCAGGTTAATGTTAATGGGGACTGGCAGCATTCACGACCTAAAGTTCAGAGCACTATGGGTGTTCATTCTTGCCAAGTGGTGCATTGTGACAGAAATATAGTTCTTTGGCCCTATTTTCAAAGAAAAAAAAATCAGCTGGTTTGTTTAAAAAAAGGCAGAATAGCAGATTTAATGGACCCTCTAGTGGCAGATGCTGCCATCTTGGTTGTTGAATCAGCACTCTAGTAGTGTTGTCGTTCGCGAACAATTCGCTCTAAAGAACCAAATCTTTCAAGTGAATGTACCGAACCAAGTCACTTCCTCAAGTGATTCGTTCATTTCTCACTTCAGTTGAGCTGAAGTGAGAAACAGCATTCCCAGGCCAGCAGCCAGCGAACAAGGAACCACACGCCTAAATCACTTGGTGAATGAATCATGCATTGCAATGCGTTTTTTTTTTAATTATTTTTCTTAATTGCTAAATTGCCACCACAACAACTTGCATACAATTGGACACAGCATGTAACAAGTAGTGCATTTCTCATCATTGCAGCAGTTTGCAAGGGAACGGTGCATGTTCAGTGTGAATTCTTCTAAACGTTCAGTTATGAATTGAATTGAATTGAACTGAATCCTAAAACGTTCAGCTGTGTATCAGATCAGGAGGTCGGGGTCGCAGGCCTCTCCCGCCAAGCGTTAAGTGATTCGATTATTCGGTGAACGAATCTTTTGAACGAATCTTTTTAGTGAACTGCATCTAATGGTTCAGTACATCTAAAAGAACTGCCATGCTCATCACTACACTCCCGTGTTGTTCTCTTAAGTAATGAGCTGTAATTGGGTCAGTACATCTGCCAATGATGGGAGATAGTTGAGGATGATAGAGGTCCCAAACCCACCTATGAGCAAACTTTAACATGAACTTGCTGATGGGTCAGACTAAACTAACAGCTGATGGACTTTGAATAATTGCTCGTCCATTACCCAATCATCAGGCAACTATCCTTAACAGAGTTCATGTTGAGTTATTTCAAAATCATAATAAGCATCATAATAACAGCACAGATAATAATAATAAGAGGACAAAGAAGAGTTCAACGAAGAAGACGGACAGAAATTCAATTTACTGAATCCAGTAATAAGTCGTTATTGTTTATAAAAGATCA